TGACGACAGGTCAGGTCCATATGAACAGGATCCTTCCATCTTTTTCTCGGACTGGGCCCTGTTCATATACGTTCTTGGCAGATGATCCAGAAGTGGTTTGCCATTGCCTTCTTCTGTGTGTGAATGGAGTAATTGTTGGGATGCCACGGAGGAAAACTCCGTGTTGGCTAGACCACGGCCTTGCCCAACACAAGTTATAAATTCGGGCACCTCGGGGAATCGAACCCGAGACCCCAGGATTACAAGGCCAGCGTTCTAACCGCTAGACCACCGTGGCATTTCGTAATCCTATATGTTCAAAGAATGTTAAATATATAATTAATAGCTACTCAATAGTTTCAGACTTACGCGAACTTTTTCTTGAGGTTGTACGAGTATGTAACTGAGAAAAATAATGCAAACACGGAGAGACAAATGGCAATAAGGAATAAGGCAAAGTGATATTTTTGCATATACAGAAACGATTCCGTGTACTGAACACCATAAGCGCCAGTGTGTGTAGCGCAAGACTAGCAGAATAAAAAATTATGTAAACGAAATGTCCACCAAACGCGGTACAAACAGAATATTTTATCGTCATAAATTCTTGAATTACTCCTAAAAGAATAACATCACACGATCACTACATAAAACTGAATCACACTGATTAACGCATACAAGAATTTACAGAGGCTTTGGTTTCTCAACACATAGCAGCTAATTTTGACAAACCGCAGACGATTTTTGGCATATCTCCAGCCAAGATCATATTTCGAAAATTCATTTCAACACAAGAATTTATACTAAATGGCGCTAATGTTTGTCCTATCTTACATATTCTCTCGGCCGACATAAATATATTATTGACTGTAGGAAATGCAATGTTCATATCAATGTATGCTACAGATTTAAAACGATTAATATTTAGCACAAAAATTAAAACACAGGCAAGTCAAAATTATTATTATTAATATTAATAACTTGTTTAAGCTCTCAATTCATTTCTATTGTAAGCGAGACGAATCCGGTCGTACTTAAGTTAAATCCTCCCATTTACGTCTAGTTTTCTCAAGCGGTCTCTTTCTGTTTCTCAATTTAAAATTTGCGTGTATTTCTCACTTTTTCTATGCGTGCTACATGTTTCGACCATCCAATTCTCCTATGTGTAGGACGTAGTAACACTGGAATAATTTAAAATGACACGGATTTAAATTTCGGTTTGTACTTCGCCGAAGCGGCTTTTTATTTTCCTTGCAGGCCTGTTACATCATTTGCAGACCTGGCGTACATCCCTGACACGCCAAAGACAGGCTCGTTTGATGATTATTTTACATAGGGAAGTTCACCAAATCAAAGGACGCTTTTGCGCTCTGAGTGTGGAAGTCCCACGACTAGTTCTTGTGTTTCTCGGTCTAAATTAAGTAAGAACTGAACCTTTGTGTACTCAGAGACACAGATTTTAGAATTTTGAGTGTGGAAAAAGTTCAGAATCTTTAAAAAGTGGAAGATTTCTGTCTTCTGAGTTGTTGCGCTGTGTAGTCTGGTCGATGTTAACCAACGTTTCAGAGGTCATACTGCCTCCATCATCAGG